TACATAAATTAGTCAAAAGTTCAATGTGCAATTCGAGCTTAAGCATATGGACAATCATCTTAAAATTGTGGGGAAAAAAAAAGAAATAATAACCAAAATTAAAAATAAAAGTGGCTTTGGTTGGGATGGTTATATGAAGATGATTACAGTTTTGAAAGATGTATATGATGAAGAAATGAAGGTATGATAAATATTATACTCTTTGTAATTTTTATATTTTCTTTTGTTTCTAAAATGTTATACAAGGAACTAAAAAATTACATATTCTAAACTTTATAAACAGGCACATCTCGATCATGACAGGTATCTCAATAAAAAAACTTTATATGTATGAGGCAATGACAATTGTTGTTGGAAAAGACATGGCAACCAGAAATTATATTAAATCATATGTTGATATCAACTTGAAAGAGAACACTAAAAAGAAATCAATTTCAATTGAAAATAAAGGAAAATATGAAGAAACTTCAAAAAAAAAATAGGCATCTTCCTCTAGTGCACAAAAGAGGCAACATAGTAAAAGAAATTGCATGTATGAAGATGATAGTGTTGAAAAGTTGTCCAAAAAGATTGCAGATGTAGCATTTGCAATCCAAAGTCTCAGCAAAAATCAACTTAATGTTAATGAGCTATATATAGAAGTGATAAAAATTAAAAAATTTGATGAGATCACTTTTGGAGATGCATTTGATCACTTGGTCCAATATAAAATATTGGTAAAAGCATTTATGACAAAAAATGTTAATTTGAGGAAATTTTTTGTTTAGAATGTTGTGAATCAACACTGTTACAAACCTTATTGCTAAGATGATTTCATTATGATAAAAAAGTTTATGTTTGTTAATTTGAACTAATATGTATGAGTATTACATCAAAACTTAATATTTATACATGACTATGTTTGATGTAAGATATTTATATTTATTTTTTAATGTTTATTTGATATATACTAAAGGGATATTAAAGAGATAATTGCCTATACCTATAAAATAAAAAATTAATATTTATCCAAAAAACCCATCAAAATATTTTTGTATTTATTTATCTTTTAAAAAACTTTTCACACCAAAAAAACTCAAATATCTAACTCTTACTTAATACCATAAACTAATTTGGCTTTCTTCATATGAAAAAAAAAACATATTTTAAGCTTTTAAAATTAAAAAATATATATTAATAGGTTTTATTTGTAAAAAATTTCACAAGTTATATCTCTATAATATTATATGACATATATAGTTATATTTTATAAAATAAGCTATATATGAATATAAGATATAATAAAAAAAATTCATCATTATACTTTTTATATTTTATTCTTTTATTGTAAGTGATTAAACATTTATATTTAATATTTTTTATATATTAGATAAATTTAAAAAAATAATTTATTAATAAATTATTTTTCAGTTCATTTTCTATAATATAACTAAATATTAAAAAATATTTTTTAATTTATTTTTTATAATATTATCAAATATCAAAAAAATAATTTACTTCTAAAAAAAAATCATTTTTCAAAAACAACAGCTTTTCATGCAAAAATTACTTTAAACGGTCTTCATGCAATTCTAATTTCTAGCGACTCCCACATCAAGTGCCGTAAGTACTTTCAGCGCAGCGAATTCTTACATCACCACAAATTGGGACACTCGCACCTTATTTGGTCCTAAATGTCCGCTTTATAATCTGTTGTCTTATATAATCTCGGCTCTTATCAGCGCAAACCCACAGCACCAGGCATTGCTCTTAGCAACAATAGGCGTCGACCACGCATTCTCGACTATAACACATGCCATTTCTCTCTTCTCGATCCAATCCCTGTAATAGTGTAATTATGCTAGCCACAACAGACCGTGCCCGAGCAGTGTGGCTCCGTTGCCTGGCCTCGGCGTTCAGGACTGCTCTGGCGTGTACTATAGTGGGTTGCACCACCCTTTATGGTCCAGCTGCTGTCCAACACCATATAGCCTTCCCTGCATTCTCTTATGTGACTGTGATACTCATAGTCACTGATGCAACTTTAGGTGACGCTCTTCATGGTTGCTGGCTAGCACTCTATGCCACGATCCAGAGCGTGGGGCCGGCTCTGCCGAGCCTTTGGCTGATTGGTCCAGGTCGGTTTACAAATGGCACCGTATCCTTAGCAGTGGCCCTGGGTGCATTTGTGGTGGCATTTCCTGAGGGGACTCATTTGATAGCAAAACGAATTGCACTGGGTCAGATTGTTATCGTGTACGTTATAGCTTTTATCAATGGTGTGGATACTGAGGCAATTGTGCATCCTTTGAATGTAGTCGCTAGTACCGCTATTGGAGTCTTCGCTTGTGTTCTTGCCCTGCTCTTACCATATCCAAGACTGGCTTGTTGGGAGGTGTTTACTATAATATCATTATATATGCATTATAACTAATTAATTAGCATGAATAGTTTGAAAATATTTTCGATAGTGGAAGATAAATATTAATCCTATAAAAATTACATTGCAGCTGAAACAAAATTGTGGAAGGCTAGCTGAAAACGTTTCCGAGAGGCTGAACCTCTATGTGAAAGCTTTCTGTGCAGAAGACAATGCATTGGCATTGACATCTATCTCCCAAGCCAAGTCATTGACTATTGCTGGTGCCAAACTTCTCCAGAGTATCAAACAATACCAAGTAAGAAATTTTGTATCATTTTATAACACTATTTATTGATTCTATTTGGCGCCGTCCACTACCAATGCAAGACTAGATTTCAATTGCAATTAGCTGAGTTGCTTATAATTAACTTGCATGCATGCACCATTTCTTTTCTGGATTGTGTACAGGAAAGCGTGAAATGGGAGAGGCTTCCATCGAAGTATCTGAGAAACTCTTACTTGAATCCGGGAGAGAGATTGCAAGAGCTAGAGATACCACTGAGAGGGATGGAAATAGCCTTAACCAGTGCCAGTTCATTTCCTATGAGAATGCTCGAGGCAGAGACCAAACAAGGTCTAGTTCAACTAGAGGAGCATGTTAGCCTGACCCTAAAACAGATCAAGAATTGTTTTCCTGGAGATTCTTTAATTGTTCCAGAATCAAATGCAGACAAAATAATCGAGTTCCTTCAAATACTTCAAGCAACGATCCCAACAAACCACGAAGATTTGCCCTCCTTTTTCTTCTTATTTTGCATGAAACTCCTCCAAAGCAAATCACTGGCGAAACCAATCACCTCCACACAACAAAAAGAATCAAGCGCTCCATGTCAGAAGAATGGGTTCTTCAAGAGCATGTGGATGAGCAACTGGTCCACAAGTGTAAACTGCAAAAGGCTTATGCCAGCATTCAAATGCTCTCTCTCCTTGGGCCTTGCAGTCCTGTTTGGTTTGATATATAGCAAGAAATATAGTTATTGGTCAGGCCTCCCTGTAGCCATTAGCATAGCTGCTGCAAGGGAGGCGACGTTCAAAGTTGCTAATGTTAAAGCACAAGGGACAGTCTTAGGGACTGTATATGGAGTATTTGGTTGCTTTGTGTTTGAAAGATACTTTCCAATAAGGTTTATCTCTCTCCTTCCTTGGTTCGTCGTTACCAGTTTTCTGAGGCACAGCCAGATGTATGGTCAGGCAGGTGGTATTTCTGCAGTGATTGGAGCTCTAATCATATTAGGCAGGAAAGATTTTGGCCCCCCAAGCGAATTTGCTATAGCAAGAATTGTGGAAACTTTTATTGGATTATCTTGTTCAATCATGGTAGACCTTCTCTTGCAACCCGCCAGATCTTGTACTCTAGCTAAAGTTCAACTTTCTAAATGTTTCGGGACATTGTCTGCTTGCGTTGGCTCAATGAACCTTGCAGCCAACAGCAAAACCAACTTGCTAGAGAAACAAAGGAGACTAAAATTGGATGTTAGCGAACTAGGGAAGGTCATTGGAGAAGCTGAGGTGGAGCCCAACTTCTGGTTTTTGCCTTTTCATAGTGCTTGCTATTGTAAGCTCTTGGCGTCTTTGTCAAAGTTGGGGGATCTCTTGCTTTTTAGTGCTGATGCAGTGGGACTCCTTGAACAAGTATCACAAAAACTTGGAGCTTCCTGGAAGGAGTCTGTAAATAAACTACATGGTGACGTTGAACTTTTCAAGGAAATGGCTGGTTCCTTGGGTAAATGTTTTGAGGATGTCACATTGTTGAAATCGCTAACATTTCTTGAAAAGAAACTTGAAAACAAGAACATCTCTTACGATCTTGAATTGGGAAAATCTTCAAACTGGAACATTTTTACAGCTTCCAGTTTAAAAGACGATAAGATAGATGGCATCATCAGCTCTTACCTCCAACATTCAAAAGAAATCGTCGAGAAGTTTCACGCACCTGATCATGAAGGGGAAAGGGAACTGAAGAGCCAGGTGGTCTTATGCTTGAGTGCTCTAGGTTTCTGCATGAGCAACTTAATAAAAGAGACAAGAGAGATTGAGAAGGGAATCATTGAACTTCTTCAATGGGAAAACCCTTCAAAAAACATAAATTTGTACGAGATTTCATGTAAAATCCACGCTCTAAACAATTGAACAATATTGTTACCAATTGTATAAATTTAATGCAAGAAGCCAATGCTTCTTTCGTCTGTAATAACTTTGAAAAACAGAATTCAAGTATTGAACAACTTGCCAAGGGAAAGTTGTGCAGCTCACTACCAATGTTAATCTTATGGCTTTTTTTTTAAGAAAAAAAGAAGTTATTGCATTCGAACCTTTTATTTATACACACTGCTTAATAGATAAAGTATTAAAAAAGAAAGCTATATTTTGTTGTATCTGGTTGGTGCTGCGTTTCATTATTGTTATCGAGGAGCTATCATTGATCGATGTCTGGTAGCCCATTTAACTTTTCGTAAAGTTTAAGGCATTTAAATATTTCTGTTCTTTTTATTGGCGGGTGGGAGGAAGGCGACGTGAATCTGAAGGTTCTAATTATTTTATTTGTTTGCGATTCAATATTTGGTGGAAGAAGTTTCGACGTTATAGAATATTATTATTACTGTAATGGTATTATAAATATCAGCATATGATTTCTCTGCTTTCGTCAAGCACACAGCTGAGAGAGAGAGAGAGTAAATTCGGGCTTCTGGGTTGGGTTATATTCCTCTCATCTTACCTCTGGTACTCCATTTGATTTGATTTGTTCTGTAATCATTATTTGATCACAATTTGATGTGTATGTATATTTGATTGATGCTTAAATTTGATAGGATTGCGTATAGGTATTGAAGTGAGATCTGATCAAATGGCATCAAACGGAGACCATCAAACAACTTTGAAGCCACCTCCAAGTCCATCTCCATTGCGAAATTCCAAGTTTTCTCAGGTGATTTTCGATTTCTCTTTCTTTTTTCCTTTTTTTATGCCCATCTGGGTAGATAGTCACAATTCTTGAAAAATTGCAATGCAGATATAATGCATTGCATGTATTGCAATACATACTCTTAGTGGATTTTTTGACTGTATGATAACGACTTCCTTATAGAGAGAGAGAGAGAGGTATGAGTGGTCCTACTTTTAAAAACATGCGGTGCAAGATCAAGAAAACTTAATCTTAATGGTGTTAATAGCTACTTGTTCTTTTCATGGATCTTTCTTTGTACTGCCTTCAATAATGGTGTAGCTAATTTCTTGAACTGGTTACACTTAGTTAGATTCTTGGCGTATATAAATAATAAATCATGCTAACTGCCGGAAACCAGTTTATGAAATTGGGTTTTTGAGATGATTTTCAATTTCCATTTCCACCACCAAATAAGCGCATCGTAGGTGGAAAACAGTGATCAGTGATGTTGCTTAGAGGGCTACGAAGGCTATAAATTCTCTATACTAAATGAATTTGCAACTGTTGATCTTTGAGGTCATTGAGATCTGACAATACTACTGTTTTCTAGTTTTAGGTGGTGATTTAACTTCTTGCTCTCTAGCTTTGATAGAGCAGTCCTTTCCCGTTCTTAATATGGTTTTCAAATAGCAACTCTTAATTTTTCTGCTGCTTGGAAAAAAAAAAAGCTGTATTTTGTTGCTTGACTAAATTTCGTACCTGCACAGTAATGCCTGCCCTCATTGCTCTCAATTTTTTCTCGTGATTATTAATATACTCTTGTGAATGAATTGCATTTGCAATTCAATGCTCTGTATTTAGTCTTATTTCATTGCATTATTGATGGCAGTCCAATATGAGAATTTTGGTTACTGGAGGAGCTGGATTCATTGGATCTCACTTGGTCGACAAACTAATGGAAAATGAGAAAAATGAGGTCAGCATGTTCCCTTACCTAATTCAGCCTCAGTGTAAGGTTTTTGACAAATAATGATTTGTTGTCCAATTTGATTGATGCGTCGAGTACATCATACACAGGTTATTGTTGCTGATAACTACTTTACTGGATCTAAAGACAATCTTAGGAAATGGATTGGTCAGCCGAGATTTGAGCTTATTCGTCATGGTATGCTCTTGTCTTCCAGTTTTTAGTTTTAAAAATTGACATCAAGTTTTTCCTTCCTTGTACAAGATACAATGCAGGTGTGTACACTATTAGGTCCAGTTATTTATAGCTCTTGTGAATTAAGTTATGGTTTCACTTGGGTCCATAACTAGGTAAAGACCTCTACGAGATAGTGTCATGGTATCATCCTAGTTAGAAACTAAACATGAGAAGCTTCATGTCAAGTTCGACTTTCGAATTAGATTTGAATATTTTGTCATTCATCTTGTTTTTGATGGTAGGGCTTGATGCCAAGTGCATTTTAAACTAAAGGCCAGGAAGCAGGTTCCTGGGATCTGGATTCTTGAAATTGCCCTACCTATATGTTTTTGCCCAAAGTGGTTGTTCTTATATGCCAAACTTAGTAGCTCTTTTTACAAGTGCATTACTTTCTACCATGCAGTAGATAATGGCACTCACTGCACTCTGAAAGAATAAGTGGGACAAAAGAAAATAATGGTAAACCACAAGTTAGACAAAGAATCTTCCATATGTTGCATCAAGGCCATTGAGATTTTGCGATTCAGCATTGATAAGAGTTTCTGAGGAGTTTGGCATACTATTATCAATGTATTTTCTGTTGCCTTTTATTTTTATGATATCAGAATGTTAATGCACATAACTTGTTTCTTTTTGTTCTTCCTAGATGTTACGGAGCCATTGTTGGTTGAGGTCGATCAGATTTATCATCTTGCATGCCCTGCTTCTCCCATTTTTTATAAATACAATCCTGTAAAGGTGTGTATATGTGCTATGTTGTTGCTAATTTACCATATTGTTTCAATGTATCTTTTATAAATACTAGTACTCTCTGCTAATTGCACATCAAGTCTCTTGTGCCTCAACATGATAACTTGATTTTCTACTCCAGTCCTTGTCCACCATTTCCTTCTTCTCTTTTGTTTTTCATTTTTTTAGAGGGTATCCACCATCCTTTCTCTGGCATTTGTAAATATTTTAATTTTCGGAAACCATGGTCCATCAATTAGTACTTGTTTACACCCTCTTAATTTTGCAACCAACAATCCAGCACCGTGATCAAGCAATGGCAAATAACCATCCATTAACAACCAGTTAGGTTGGAGTCATTTGACCATCAGAAGTTTGGAATAATCTATTTTGAATATTTGTGTTACCTATTTGTGTTGCCTGCCTTTGTCTTGTTTTAATCTTTCTGGGAAAATGAGTTTCTTAGTGAGCCTTGACACCTGATTTCACTAGATTGGTCCCATTTTCAGCCTCAGGAAGTAGAATAGGGAACAGCATGAGCCATGGTTGTTCTTCACATAACTCATACGTCACCAATTTAGTTTAATTGTTATAAATAATCTTATACATAGGAATATGCATTGAACCTTGGGACATTTTAACTTGGAAGCGTGTGATATCTTGCAGACAATAAAAACAAATGTGATTGGCACGCTGAACATGCTGGGTCTTGCCAAGCGAGTTGGAGCAAGGTTAAGGGATCATATCTTGTATTATTATTTTTAAAACTATCAATGAATGTGTTGACTCATTTATGATATTGGGAGCAGAATCTTGCTTACATCTACTTCAGAGGTATATGGTGATCCACTTGTACACCCTCAACCTGAGAGCTACTGGGGCAATGTTAATCCAATTGGTATGTTCAGTCATTGACCAAGCCAATTTTTCTTGCATTTTCACTGTTCAATGAAGATAGGAGTTTCTTTGAACTAGCTCTTGTTGATGGGCTTGCTCTTGTAGCAAGCTTTGCTTTCATTTGATGCATGGATCGTGTATATATCTTCACCATCTGGTCCAATGCACTGTTTTTTAAGTTCTCTGCAACTCTGCATTATAAATTTTGTAAGAATGTTCATTGCGTTGTAGCATTGTTTTAACATCAAGTTCATCCCCTTTTGTGCAATAGGGGTTCGGAGCTGCTATGATGAGGGGAAGCGTGTGGCTGAGACATTGATGTTTGACTATCATAGGCAACATGGGATAGGTAAATGTGTTAACTTTCTCCATATGGAACCGAGTTTTCCTTGCTAATAATTTTTCTGACATGGTTTCTTTAATGTTGATAGAAATTCGCATTGCTAGAATTTTCAACACATATGGACCGCGCATGAATATTGATGATGGGCGTGTTGTGAGCAACTTCATTGCTCAAGCACTTCGGTAAGTCCTTGTTCTGTCATGGGTATCAGTGTGTTCGTAGCTTTATTTGTTAGCTTTAGTTGACAAGAAGTCTAGGTCCATGCTTTTGTTTCACCATCCTTGTGGTTTCTAATGAAAATCCCTGATGCTTTGTTTTATAAAAAGTTCTTTAGATATTGGGTAATTTTTTTTGCATATGTTCCCATAGCTTTTAATTTACTCTACTATCTTTTGAATTTGTGTAGTGGTGAACCATTGACAGTTCAAAAGCCTGGAACTCAAACTCGCAGTTTCTGCTACGTCTCTGACATGGTATGCAGAACACACACACACACACTTGTATATATGCATGTGTATCAACTTCAATCTCGGGTGATATGCAATGGGTTTCCTAGAGTCTCAAATGCTCGCTTAAAATGTATCAGGTTGATGGCCTTATTCGCCTCATGGAAGGAGAGCACACTGGACCAATCAACATTGGAAACCCAGGTATGTTTGTGCTTACGTTGAAAAGGTTGGACTTGTCAATATATCCCAGTATCATGTATATATTTCTTGCCACTTACCTCGTTGTTCTTTCTGTACATTTCCAGGGGAATTTACCATGACTGGGCTTGCTGAGACAGTGAAGGAGGTTAGTTTCCAATGTTGCCCCCCCTCCCTTTCTGAGCCAAATATTCAGTGTGCACACTTCACAGTTCGACAACATTTGTGCTGAAGCAGTATGGTCGTAGTTTTGTTTTTGACAAACGTTAACCTCTTTTTTCCCAGCTTATTAATCCTGGTGTGGAGATAAACATGGTGGAGAATACTCCTGATGATCCACGACAGAGGAAACCTGACATTACAAAGGCAAAGGCATTGTTGGGATGGGAACCAAAAGTTAAGTTGCGGGATGGCCTTCCCCTGATGGAGGAGGACTTCCGGCTGAGGCTTGGAGTCACCAAAAAGAAGTGAAAAACTACCACTGATACTGAAGATGAGCAGTGCTCTACATTGATGTTTCTTTCTCCTTGAGTACACCATTGCATCTGCCCTAGTTCAGTGTCATGTTTTAGGAAATAAGCGGTGATGATGCATGGCCTTTACCCTGATCTTATAGTTAATGCAATTATCACCATTATCATGCTTTCACAATCTTATCTTTCAGTTCGATTCATTCATTGTTGTTGCAACTTGTTGCCCTGGGTTTTGATGAAATAATGACTGGTAAATTTTTAAAGTTTTTGAAATTATTATTTAAAAAAAATAATGATCAATATCATATGAACTACGTTGATATACTAGCTGCTTTACATCTGGACACCAATTCTCTTTACATGGGACCTTCGAGATGTCTTTATTGTCTAACGAAAGCACACTTACGATTGTTATCCCCCGAGGATTCATCTGTGCTAGGTTACTACTCTCTATGTTCCATATTTATCACTCATTTACTACTCTTGAAATTATGCAACAAACATGTTACATTAACATACGTTGTTGCACATGTTTTTTGGGCATGGTTTAGTATAATGTAATATTATATATTATCCATCTTCGCATTCCTCAATAAATCCATAATTTAATATAAAAATAATTTTAATTTATTATTAAATCATGAATTTAAATTTAAAAATATATTATTAAATCATGGACTTAAATTAAAAAATATCTTGATATTCATCTATATTTAGATTTCATAAGATTAATACAACCTGACTTAATTAGGTTTTAAATCAATTTAAAATTAAAAAGGAAGGGAAACTACCATCCCTTCGTACATCATCATTATGCACCAAATATATTACAATAATATATGGATAATATAAGTTGCGCATGTCTTTTTAGCATGGTTTATTATAATTCAATATCATATATTATATATTCTTGTGTCTATCATTCTGAGATATTTATGATAATTAACAAAATAAAATATAGTTATTTAAACTTTGAAGATGTAGTTTAATTAATTAATCCTAAATTTACATTTTAAAAATCACACCCACAAATTTTAAAACCATTAAAATCTTATGTAATCGTTAATTTTAATATTTCAATAAATTAATCGAAATTGCGTCAACCCGCCGCGATAGTCATCTTAGTTATATATATACATATGTATGTATGTATGTATGTATGTCCACCTGTCAATAGCATACTTGTTCTCCGAATGCTAACGTGGATCTCCTCCTCTCTCTTGTCCCTGTTATCACATTAGCTGTAACTGAAATGGTAAAAAGGAACAGCCTCCCCCTCCACCTCCATCTTTCTTTCCCCTTGTTATCCTTTCCAGTTTCTAGATTTTACTAGAAAGTCAAAAGAAAACACAATCTGATTTTGACCGGGGTTTGCCGGAGGAGATGGAAGTGCCAAGCGACGACACTGTTTTGATCGAGAAAGGAAAGAAGGCAGGAGATCCTCACGTGATCACCGTTAATTGTCCCGACAAGACCGGCCTTGCCTGCGATATTTTTCATGTAATTCTTGACTATGGACTTTACATTACCAAAGGAGGTAGTTATTCTTACTAATATTATTTGGTTTTGTTTTTATTAATTAATTATTACAATTATTGAAGTGATATTTATGGAGCAGATGTTTCAACTGATGGGAGATGGTGCTACATGGTATTCTGGGTGGTTCCACACTCACGGTCCATTATAAGATGGACTCATTTGAAGAACAGACTTTTATCTGTATGCCCTCCATGTTCGGTCTCCTTTGACTGGAACCAGCAGCAATCCAAGTCTTGTCCGGTTTACTTGTTGAAGTTCTTTAGTCTCGACAGGAAAGGATTGCTGCATGGTAATTAATAGAGTACATTTTTATCTTTATGTTAATCTTTGCTTTCGTCGCTGCTTACTGCTTCCTTGGGTTAGTCTGATTATGATAATTCTATCTCTGATGCAATTGGAAAATGTTTTTCTTGTTAGATGTTACTCAGGTTTTGTGTGAGCTGGAGCTAACAATCCAGAGGGTCAAAGTTACTACAACCCCAGATGGCAGAGTCTTGGACCTCTTTTTCGTTACGGATAAACTGTAAGATTTTTTTTCTTTCTTTCTTTCTCTTTTGGAATTTATTCGAATTCCTGTCTTGGGTGGGGTCAATCTTGATTTTTTCTACTGTATAAGGAGAATTCTGTCCTGCCTTTTAATTCAAGTCAATGGAAAAATTGTCTAAACCACTCACTGCATATCTTAGGCCTTGAGTTACTGAGGGCTGAGGTCACGTAAGCTAGTACTTCCTTGGTTTTTTGTTATTGAGTCTGAGTGAATAGAGATGGCAGCTACTTTGTTATCCTTGGAACCTATCATGTGCCTGTTTATGGCATGGTTCTTCCCAGGTTTTTGCTGACCTACCAATCTTTTTCCTGAACAATTGACAATGACATGATAAGAATGATGATCTATACTTCGTAGTGAAGTGAATGGTTGTTCGTGGAAGTCAAAGATATGGCTAGATTCTGTCTGATGTTCATCAGGTCATTGAACACTTCTCTGAATCGATCATGAGATCAATTGTAATTAAAAACCCAGGAGTCTGGGTTGGATTTTGTGGGTGTATTAATCTCCATTCTATTCCACAATTTTGTTACAGGGAGCTATTACACACAAAGCAACGACAAGATGAGACATGTGAACAATTGCATGCTGTACTAGGTGAATCATGTATCAGTTGTGAACTTCGATTGGCAGGACCCGAGTATGAATGTCTTCAGGGCATGTCTTCTCTTTCTCCTGTTATTGCAGATGAATTATTTCATTGTGAGATATCAGATAAAGAAATCCATTCACAAGCTCTTAGCCTAGATATGATGAAATTGAAAAGGACAGATGTAGTGATAGACAACTCACTGAGCCCTGCTCATACGCTGCTTCAAGTGCGATGTGTTGATCACAAGGGTCTTCTTTATGATGTGATGAGAACTTTAAAAGACTGCAATATACAGGTATGGATTTGCATCTTCCACCATATTTATCCAATATATATTTTTAGGATTAACTAGACTCTGTCCATTGTTAGTATTTTAAGTTTATCACTACGGTGAACTTAGAATGGGCCCTTAATCATTTCATGCTCGGAATGTTTCTGTGCCGGCATTGACAAGACAACACCAGTTACCTAAACTTGTTACGTTTCTATATTGGCCCAGCTGTAACAAACTTGATAATTAGGTTAATAGTAATAGTAATTTTTTTGAGTTAAAAAAAATGATTACAAAAATGTAATTGAAAAAAAAAGATAAAAGATAGTTTTTGAGTACATTTGAGGTTGCTGGGTTCTTCATAGGGCATATTTGATTGTTTCCTCTCATGACTTAGCAGAAAGTCCCAGTGAGTTTTTTCATCCTCTTTTTTCCATAGCATATAATTTTATTTAAATAGAAGATAAATTCAAACATACTAAAATTTAAATTTTAAAGATTCTAATCTGATAACTTTAAATTTTAATGGAAGTAAATCAAGGCTATGACTGTCACAATTCTACCCCCATTAAAAACCTTGGCCTCAAGATTCGAGAGGTTCCTTAGCTAACTTGTTTTGAAGTTGTCGCACTGGTTCTTTCAAAATTCTTTGTTGAGTTTGTTGGTGTAGTTGTTGCTCCTCCAGTCATTTCATGCAGGCAACTGCTTTAATAAGTTATGATATCCATGTTACCATGGATCTACTGTTCTGATACCAATTGTAACAAATTTGATCATTCAAGATGATAACAAGAGCACTTTTATTGAATTAAAAGAGATTAACTACAAAGACCTAATTAATAAAAGATAAAGGATAGTTTCTGAGCATATTTGAGGTTGTCCGGTTCTCTATAAAAGCATATTCAAAGTTGTCCAATTCTCTTATGATTTAATAGAAAGCCCATAAGTTTTTCCATCCTCTATTTTTGGTAGCCTAGAATTCTATTTAAATAGAAAAGAAATTCAAACAAATTCAAATTTAGAATATCTTAATATGATCACTTTGAATTTAAATAGGAGTAAATCAAAGATAGGACTGTTACACCAGCCTACCTCTTCCCCTAATTAAAGGGGTCAGCAGCAAAATTTCGAACTAGATGTGAAAAGATGCATATCATTGAAATGCAATAGCTTCCAAACAGACGGGTTTATTATAAAAGAAGGATTACATGGAAGGCTGGGCCAAATTCGTTATGATCAGATTATTCCATCTTCTACCTTCTTGAAATTGTGTTAGCACTTAGTGCATTGATGCAGAGAATATTGTCATTTAATTCACCCATATTGTTTGCTATTTTTCTGATACAGATAGCTTATGGTCGATTCTCCCTGGTGACCAATGGTCATCGTGATTTGGACCTATTTATTCAGCAAAAGGATGGAAAAAAGATAGTTGATCCTGAGAAGCAAAGTGCCTTGTGTTTCCGTTTGAAGGTTGAAATGCTTCATCCATTACGTGTTATTATAGCAAACCGAGGACCTGATACTGAACTTCTAGTTGCTAATCCAGTCGAGCTCTCTGGAAAGGGAAGACCCAGAGTATTCTATGATATTACACTTGCTCTAAAAGCACTTGGGATCTGCATATTTTCGGTAAGAAGTCATTGCATTAGACAGAAAAACTCAAAGATGCATCTGCACATTGCATCTTCATTCAACTTGCCTTGGAGTTTTTGATTGGGAAATTATGCAATGCATAGGACAATTCCAATGTGGCTTGGAATTAGGGCACTGGAATGCTTTATAAGCAATTTACTGATCCTATTTCCTTCTATCTCGGATGCAACTGCTATTATTAATATAATAAAACAACATTATAATGAAGAGGCTGATAACTTCATGTCAGTCGCCAAGTGCAGATGGAAATCTGAATTCGGTTCTAATGTTTCCCATAAACAGTGAAATATTTCTAACACTATGCAATTTTGGTTCTTAGGCTGAAAAAGGAAGTTATTCAACCTCTGATCGTGAATGGGAGATATACAGATTTCTTCTAGAGGAGAACTGCAAATTTCAGTTATCAAATATGATGGCTAGAAATCAGATTGTGGATACAGTTAGAAGAACACTGATGGGTTGGTGAGTTTATTCATTTTGTGTGTACTTTGGTCCTCGTAGCTGTCGCCTTCCTAAGATTTTCCGCTTGGCTCTGCATTTTATGGTATGCAGACCATTTGTACAGTGTGTACAATCCAATTTATGTTATGTAAAGACGGCTTGTACTCTCAAATCACCTTACACTTACTGGTCGAGAGGTTATACTGTGGTCTTATTTCCTCTTGATTGTGAAACCTTCGCTGCATTGCAGTTTAAATTGGAAGATTTTTATTCCTGATATATTATGCTCAGATGCAAACGAAGCTTCTCAAAAATCAGTCTGTACTATGGTCACATGACTGCAGCAGAATTATCGGTGAAGACCATGAATCCTCGATGTTCTTGAATGCCATCTAAATTGTTCTAATTGCTAAAATTGAATTCCGGTGCTTCTGGAGTTTGTAAGAAGCTAGGCGTATTTCTGTCGGATTAATTTGGTGTGTTAGTTATGTTGATATGCATTGCACCTCTCCATTGCTCAGTGTTTCATAGCAGAAGGAACAGGTGAGTGCTGTTTGGGTAGTTGGTGCATCGATTACCTTTCTTTGCCTGGAAGGAAAATAAGCAGCTGGTGGAGGTATCTTCCATTGATCAGGGCTCGAAGTCGTAAAGTCCCCATGTGAATTCGAGGCAATATGAACCCCAAGGTAAAGAAACTATTGCTTCTCTTGGGGACAAGAAACTATTGCTTCTCCGTAAGCTTTGCTTTGCGAGCACACAAAGAAAAACCTTTAAAGCCCCTTTCTCAATCACTAGTGCTCAATTATGTTCGTGTTATTCAAATCCGTCATTCTCAATATCTTTGTACATTTATCATTTTGTTTTTTTCTTAAAAAGAAAAAAGAAAAACAGATCTTTGTGGGGTTTTCTATAAACTTGATCAAAACCCTATATTTCTAAATTAATCCACAGCTCCGTGCTTTCATCAATTATGTTCTTATTCAATTTATTTTATTTTTTTTATTTTTGAAAAAGAGACAGATGAAGATAGAGTAGATAAGTTGATAAGATTCTATCAGGAAAAGAGGTGTATTTGGACAAAAAGAACAATACTTATTGGGAATGGATGATGATAATCAACATGTCGAGTGACTACTTAAGGATTTATTACACCGCAAGGACTAATTCATTAGTTTTGATTAACTACGGGGCTAAGTTATAATTAACTCCTAATTTATCCTCCTAACATAATCCAAAGCGACCACCGTTACCTTTGACGAGCGATATAATCATTATTGTAACTACCGTGCCCGGTCTCGTCAAGACCAAACAGTGACAAATCCCATAATCCCCTTTAAAAATTAAAAAAGAAGCTGTGTTCTAGATTATCGAATTGAATGCAGGAGGGAGAGAAGCCTCTCGTTTAGTTTCGCAAGAGACGAGAATTTGATTGTTTTCTTGGGTCGGAATTTATTTATCAGGCTAGGGAGGGAGATTTTGGGATCCAATGGTTAAAGATTGTTGTTAAGATAGTAAGTTAGATAAAGAAATGAAAATGGAAGAGACAAGTTTAACGACGCCAGGAACTGGAAGTTCATCTTATCTGAAGGCTCTCACCGTTGAAATCGAGAAAAAGCTGCAAAGGGTTCCTTCCTTCTCTTGCACTCTATTTTCTATTTCTTTATTTTGGATCCTTTTGTTTACCATCGTCATCATGTAGTCAAGCGGATTAAGGAAAGTTTTTTATACTCAGATTTAAATCAAGATTTGATAATTTTTTGTCCTAATAGAGAATTTGCTTAGCTAGAGAGCTATAGGGTGGGTGGGTTTTTTTTTTTTTCATTTCTTGCTTGAGAATCAATCCAATGTTTGTTTTACAGAGTAAGATTGAGTGTCCTTATTCCATAAAAAAAAAAATTACGTGATGTTTTAGTAACCAATTGCAGGCACTAGCTTCTGCATCTCAGAGACGGAACTTGTTACAAGAATTGTTTGCTGACATTGCTTTGGAAGTTGATGATCGTGCTCGAGGTCAGTTAAAACTAGATGTTTTTATCAATTTGTGTTAATGGGTTGTTGTTGTTTCTCATTTTTGCCTATTATATTATGCACATTTTTTATTGTTCCATAACCACTGGATTTTTTCTTGCGTTGACATCGAACACAGGTATAATTTTCAGCAGGGAAGAAGATGAAATTTCTCCTGCTGAAGCTGCTGCTGATGGCCAATTGTGCTTTTACGATGTGCTTGCTGATTATTATGTTTGGGTGCCTGCGAGTGGAAAACAAATTCTTCATTTGATTGTCCAACTCTGGAGCCAGTCATTTGCATCACATATTTTCGCTCTTTTGTTCCATAAATGGGTATGCAATCTTGGCTGAGTTCCAGTAATGTTTGTTCTATTTTTCATCCACAAAGGATCACAACACAACAAGTCTTTTGAGAGCTTGATATAAACACCCTTATTTTCCACGCCTGGTTGCTTGTTGAATGTCAAGCAAGAAAGCCTCTCAAGATTTCTTCTTTGCTGCTGTCTGTATTCGTTGCATATGTAGGTCGTCAAGTTGATCTATTGTTTGCTGTTCCTTCGCTGCAATGCAATTTATTTGAACTTCCCAATGACAAAACAGTGTAGGCTCTGGTAGGTTGTAATTTTGACTTTTCTAAACTTGATGAAATATAATATAGAATTGCTTGCAATGGAAAACGTGGAAATGAAAAGGGGTCGAAATTTCTCTTTTAGGTGTGAAGGAAAAGAAAAAAAAAATGTTTGTTTCTCAATCTATGCTAGATTTCTTTATATTTCAAATTTTTTCCTTAAGGTGCACGACTGCTATTATTAACCACTATTCACAAAAATTGTGGATTTAAGAGATACCAATAGTGTCTTGTATCCCAGGGTAGACGCTATTTTCACATTTGACATGTCTTGGATCTTTGGCAGAGATTCCTAACGTGTAAACCATGTTTTGTGGCTTCTACGGTTAGATTAGGCCTTGTTTCATCATTAATGTGTTATTGTTCAAAATTAGAAGTTATTATATTCAAGTTTGGGCTTAAATGACATACATTTTGGGTTTTCACTTGATTTGGGAAGGTGCTGCTATTTAAAAAAAAAATAAGTGGTTTGAAACTTGAGCAATAATTTAGTTAAGTTTATTTCTTGAATCTGTGTTTTTGTTGAATTCAGATGTGTGTGTAGTTGAAGGTTATTATATGGGTTGCATGAATGCAATTTGAAAGTTTATGTTTCTTTTTTTATGTTGACCATCCAGATTTATTTGAAACATTAAAATCTTATGGGAAATTATAGTTCTATATTCCATCAGTGGTGACCATATAACATCGAGTTGCACTCATGTTTTCTGCAGCTTTTTGAAGCTCAGCTGGATAATACTGAAGTACTTGTTCGTTTCTCATCTGCTCTTGTTCAAGGTGCTACAAATGTTTTGTGGTAAGAATATCAGCAAGCTTTGAATGGTAGTCATTTGGTGGCTACTAGGAATCAAAGGATTTTGAAGTTGAATTGAGCTGCTAATTACTAATGAATGTTGGGAACTCTGTCTATCATGTTGATCAATACATGAACTATTAAAGGAATTGTGAGTTTTATTCTCTATGTGCCTTTTCTTTTTCCTGAATATAGATGGGGAAATATTGTTAATTTTGAAGGTGACACTCTCCGAGATTCAGAATTCTATTTACTTCATATGTTTTTTTCTTTTTCTTCTTGTTTCCAGATGGGTTTGGGTTGTAATATGAAATCAATTTAGTTTAGGGAAATTGGTGCTTTGACTATTGGATCACAACTGATTAAAATTGTAACTGCTTAGAGCAAGCGGTATATGCCATTCTGTGAAGGGGATTATATTTTTCCAAAAGAAAAGAGGTTAAGGTGTCCTACCATTCATTGTAGAAATGGTTCAGGAAAAAAGAAATGAAGAAAGGAAAAGGAATTTTGCTATTCATTTAGCTTCTGGTAACCTCTTAAGTTGTTTGATTGTGCTAACTTTAATTCCTGATATTCTAAGTGGCTTAACATTACATTAGCTGAGTCCATCCTTGCCTTTTCTTTTCCTTTTATCTTGAACCAAATTTCTGGATCTCTCACATCCAAAATTTGGTACCACCACTGAAAATCCATTTTTTCAGAGGGAGACATGGCAAACCAAAGTAGTGGAGTGCCTTAATATCATAAGTTTCTAGAAGTTTCTAGTAAAGTTTCACATATTATTGAGTGCTGTTGATAAAAGTTGCATGTCCAGTTAATTACTGTACAAACAAGCCATCATTAGAATCGTACACTTGGATTTGACAAACAACGTATTTACCCTTTCCATGTTGTTGGGTTGAAGATATATCGCTGCATATTCTATTCTCACATTCCAAGCATGGAACAATGACTTGAACCTGGTAAAACTTTGCAGGATTGACATCCAAACAAACAAAAGGCATTTCCAGTCCCTATTTCAGGCAAGTGTCCTTCCAACAATGTAATGTAATCCCTCCTACTGGATATACATGGTAGAATTACAGTCTCTGTGTAATTATTTCATCTTCCTCCTTAACCGTTGTCCTTGTTAATTTCAGTATCTCCTTGAGGAAGTTGCCTTGGAGCCTATGCGGTTGAACAGAATTCCAGTGCAGGTCAGGCATTGATTTTTCACTCGTACATGGCTTTTTTTTTCTGCATGCTTGCCTTTGATTGCACGCCTAGAAATATTATGGCGTGGACTTTGAAATTATCATTTAGTTGGCATATGTAGTGAAAATTTCCATGAACAGCGTTTGCATTGCAAAATAATGTCAGTCTTCCATTAAATCAGGCCCAGAGGGAACTGTTTCTTTTACTCTCAAGGTTCATACTCTTTTACAACTCAGGTAAGCTGTATAAATTGTATAGATTCAATCTTCAACAACAAATGGGTTGTCATTTTCTTATATGATCTATGCAGTTGACAAGATCGACAGCTTCTTAAAACAATTTCCTATTTTTCCAAATGCTTTCTTGGTTGGTGGTCCCGCAGACTTCTTTGTTATTGAACTTGCAGATCAGGTATATTCTATATTCAGTCCTTAGGGCATTTGTTTTTGATGAGTGGGTTTACTTTCTTGCCTGTAGAGAATACATTTGCGTGTTCATATGGTCTCCAAATTCTTTTGCTTGTCAGCTTCAAAAGTTAAAGGTGGAGCCAGTTCTATTGCATTACCTTTCACAAATTAAAGTTCTCCAAGGTGGTATTATTCATCTCTTTCCAAAAAATAGTGTCTAACATTGAACTGACCTGATATAATTGCATGTTATTCTGAGTAGGGTAGTGTAATTAATTTCTGCAGGCATGGAATTGAGAATGACCACAAGTACAAGATTAAAGGCATGTTTGTATAGCTTTACTTCTCCTGGCGGTCCAATGTATCCCACTAGAGCTGTCCGTCATGCTGCCTGGGATGCTTTGGATTTGCTTTTCCCCGTGAGTGTTTTTTTCCCTGGTTGCTAGTGGCGTCTACCCAGTTACCTGGCAAATTTCATTAATGAACTGTCATGAAAGTGCATATTTAGGTATTGAATTTATAATCAACAAGTCATTTTTTATGCAATGTGGTATTTGTATCAAATGATACGATGCTTGAGATGATGAGGTGCATTTACAGCTTTTTTTATCATGCCTGAAAAATTATTGGCTTGGAAAAGAAACTTCAGTTGATGCATGATTCCACATTCCTAGTGCATACCTGTCATGTCTTTGGCAATGATATTAATTGTCCGCCACAGGTTGGACGGTATCCTCGCCATTTCATAAGCCTGTTTTTTCGACTGCTATATCCATGGTACTGGCCGTCATCATGTTGGAACTTCATAATATCTTGCATCAAGGCCGTATTCTATTCTCTGCTGAGGGTGTTGTTTTCTAGATGGGATAAGCTGAGAGAGCCAAAGAACTGCTAGACCTGATGCCAAAACCAGCTCCCCTAAAGCTTACACTTGCACTTTCAGCTTGAACGTGTAGCATTTCATGTTATTTTGTGTTGTACAAGTGCTTTCCCTTTGCTTGAGTTACCCTCTCGTTTTAGTCTTTTGAGGGTAATTTCCATATACATGTTAGTTTTCTAACATGTATATTATAATTGGATGCATAACTAAATTGTATTCTTAACATTATTCCAATTGGTCAAGTTTATTTGAAGTAACGGTGTTTGAATGGAATGCTTCCAGAAAAGCATATGCATGTTATTTTCAAAGCACCGGTCAGGGCTGTACTGAACTTAAAAGTACGGTTAAATTTGAACTCCGAAAAAGATGTAACGGTGTTTGAATGGACATGGAACTGCGGTGGCAAGATCCGCAAGGAACATGGGAAGAAAAACTGTGGAAAAGCAGCCTGATTCCAGAAAAATTGGTGGAGAATAACCTGACGTTAACCAATTTCTGTTCAGGAACAGCGTGTGAGCTTGACGGAGAGGGAGCTATAGCCTCTCTGTTTTTTCTTTTTTGAAGCGGACATGTAAAACACCTATGGTATAAAAGACATGCTCCGGCACATTGATGGAGAGAAGAGCAATGACAAGAGGCTTCATTGATGGATGCAACTTAAGCTTTCAAAATGCAATTCAAGAGCTGTTAAGACTTACCCTCTGGTCCAAGATGATTTGCAGCAAACATAACGGACTCTTAAGGGTGTACCAGCTGAGTTCAGAAATAAAGGCAGGCTAGGTATCAGGAGATTCAGGGCATCCACGTAAAACTAGCTCTCACTCCCAGGCTTCTCCTACCTAATTCACTTATACACAATAGCAGTCATAAGCTGCCGGAATGACTGCAGCCAGAATTGCTGTTAGCTGTAATACTGCATTCCAAATGGAGCAATAGATGAACCAGAAAACAGCTTGAAACCCGCTAATAAGCAGAATCAAATAGCTTCTACAGCCCAAAAGAAATGGCAAAGCAAAGTTCTCACATGTCAGTGTAGTTTAACCAGCACCCACTGCCATTCAAACTGCAAACCATATTCCAACTTCTATATCCACCTATGTTTTCAACATCAGCAGGTTGAATGAAGTAGAGATGCCAGTTCACACTACAATAAGCTACATCAGCAGGACATGAAACAATCAAGGAACGGATATTTCACTGCACAGAATAGATGAACTTGAACAAGAACCTAGCCATTAAGAACGTTAACAAGGGGTCTGCGCTAACAGTTAAAGACAATCCATTTCAATGGAAGAAATATGAAGAAATCTACCTCCATTCTTATCCCCCTGATTTTATGATGACGATGCAACCGGTAGACATTAGAGCATCGGGCAGTTCCTGTCAAAGTTCGGTTCTCCACTCCTTGCAGACACCATTTTCTTCGTCTAAGAAAAAACAAGAAAATAGCTCTACTCCCTACCCCAACTTATAAAATCACAAAAGCTAACCAAACAAAAAGCAACAGTACATTACATACAGATAGCTCTCCATTAACCGAACATTACATGATAACAGCCCCAAAATTCCACAATAAAGATTACGATAGTTCTCTCTAAGAAGTATTTGTGAAATCACTAAGACGACTTGGCTGAGACATAGAGGATAGTTCCATTGCTGCATGATCGAGCACACAAAAGCAATGAAAGAAAGATGTTGGACCAACCAACAAGACACCAGGAATGACTTCAATTTATCTGCATAGCTTCTGAATGATACTTTTCCAAATCTGCATCAAGATCTTCAGCAGATACCTTTTCACCACGGCCCCTTCCACGTCCGCGTCCCCTTCCAAATCCACGCCCGCCGCCGCCGCTGCCACCAACACCACCGCCACGCAGTCTTCCCAGTGCACCACCCCTACCCCGTCCACTGCAGAATAACCACGTGAACCCATGAATGAACAAGTAAGAACAATCACAATTCTTATACAGTTCTCTGAGCAAGGACACATACCAACATGTATCAGTCTAGTATACAATAATAGTTCAATTAATAACAAGTTTAGGTCGTTTTTCCCTTTGTTAAAAAGAAACATATGATTGGATGATCAATGGAATTGTTTTTCACTCACATATCAACATAGAATTAAGAATCTTCCAATTCATTGTACAAATCTCAAGAATCAACTATCAACTCTAAATCACACACAAAACTGGATGAATGGCTTGATGAGCCAGATATGAATACATGTTTTGTAATTCAGGTACATCTTGAATCATTGAAGCACATGACTCAACCAAATTAAAAGATAAAAATAAATAATTTCACAAAGAGGTGATTATAAGAGGATCTAAATGATTCAGGGCATATTTTATTTTGTCCTACAAGTGTTTTGTGGTAGGTTAGAGTCGGGAAAATTGGATATTTTAGGGTTTAGATCAAAGACGAAAAGGATTTGATATTTTAAAACTGAAATATGGATAAATGTGTGAGGCTGCTAGCATCACACTAGGATTTCTAGGACTCACGCCTATAGGAAAGAAAACCTAAGCATCACCCTAGAGATTGCGGAATCACTCCTTAAATGATAACCAAACAGTTGCACTTTCATTCATAATCTCTGCTACAAAATGACTACATGCATATTAATAAGCTTGAAATATTCCTATCTTACTTTGATTTTAACAGAAGACTAATGCATGTTCTAACTAGCTTCTGTTATTGTTAGTCCTAGGATAATGCTATGAATCATTCACAATTGTTTTGTTTAAATCTTTCTTAGCTGTATATATCAATTGCAATCTCTAGAATCTGTAACAAACCTTCTTAACTTCTGTATTTATACATTGATGAATTAATGAAAGAGGTGTGAAAATCATTCATCAATAATTCTGTCATTATATCAAAGCTTATCTAAGTGATAGCCAATTTTTCTCTTTCTTTCTTAGCTTTCTCTCACTCATGGCCATCAACTCTTCTCACACCATCATTCACAACGACAATGAAACTCATAATACCCTTATCACCATTAAAACTACAATCCAGCAAATACATCTCCTGGAAATTGCAGTTTCAAACCTCATTCATTAGGTATGACCTTCTAGGCTATATTGATGGATTGAAACCATGTCCACCCGCCAACCTCCCTCACAATAACACCACCATCCCTAATCCAGAACACATTCTCTGGATCAGAAAAGACCAGCTCCAGCTCATTCTCAATGCCATCATTGGCTCCCTCTCCGTCACCATTATTCCATTCATTGCTCAATCCAAAGCTTCACGTGAAGCATGGACTATCTTGGCGAACACTTACACCAAGCCCTCTCTTGGACGCATTAAACATATTAAGACTCAACTTTAGAACCTTACAAAAGGTTCTAAAAGCGTGTCTGAATTTTTACAAACCATAAAAGCATGATTTGATGAACTGGCTCTTCTTGGAGTCTCACTTGATACATAGGATCTCATAGAGGAAGTCCTAGATGGTCTTGGAGTTAATTACAAGGAACTGGTTCGTGTTGTTCAAGCCAGAGATTCCTCAATTAACTTTGAACTTCATGAAAAAATGCTCAACTTTGAAGCCTCATTACAAACAAGGAGGCCAGAACCATCTCCCTTCCCAGCTACTACAAGTCCCACCAGCTGAAGCACAACATCGTGGCGACCTCATTCGAGCTCCAGCTCTCATAGTTCTTGGTGTCCATCCAACAATAATACCAATCGGTATTCCACACCATCAAATGGTGGACCATCTTCATCTCCTAGCAATCATCCCTTTAGTCCATACTTAGGATATTTCCAAATCTGCAGACTACAAGGCCACACAGCCGAAAGGTGCCCCTACTTTCAACTGGTTCCAATTAACTCACGCCCAACAACTCCCCAACTTCATCCACTCATCCAACCTCACCATGGCAACCATGTGCACATTATGTTGCTGGTTACTGAACCAACCTAGCTCTTAGACAGTGGAGCTTTGCACCATGTTACCTCTGACTTTAGCAATCCTTCCCTGCATACTCCATGCACTGGCTCAAATGACATTATGATTAGAGATGGCTCAGATATCCCAATTACCTAAACTAGTTCTACCTCTCTCCCAAAACACACACGCAACTCCTTTCAATTAAACAATGTTCTTTGTATTCATGCAATGAAAAAGAATCTCATTTCCATTTCTCAATTTTTTCATACAAACAATGTTTCTATTGAATTCTTATCATCGTTTTTTATTGTGAAGGATCTTTGCACCAGGGCCACACTAAAGATGGTGTGTATGAGTGGCTAGTCTCCTCCCTGATTCTTGCATTTGCTAGCATACAGACTTCCTCCTCTACATGGCACCATAGACTCGAACATCCAGCTCTTTTAATTTTAAAACTTAATATTTCCAATAATAAACTAGGCTCTTCCTCCTCTTTTTTCCTCTAATTCTTTTTGTAATTCTTGTTTATGTAATAAAAGCAATAAATTGTCATTCTCCAAATCCTCTCATCTCATCCTTTAGAGACTTTTTTTTCTCATGTTTGGACCTCACCAATAATCTCTACTGATGGGTTTAAATGCTATGTCATCAGTAGTTTAAATACCATGTCATCTTTCTTGGTCACTTCACCAAATATGTATGGTTTTACCCTCTAAAACAAAAATCAGATGTCAAACCAATTTTTATTTGATTTAAAACCATTGTTGAAAAGTACTTCAACAGAACCATCAAGACTTTATATTTTGATAATGGTGGTGAATACATCTGAACAATGGTTTTTCTAAAAGACATCATCTCCATATTGTGGAAACTAGTTTAGCCTTACTCATGCCTCTCTTCCTCTACCTTAGTGGTCAAATGCATTTGCCACATCTGTTTATTTAATCAATTGAATGCCTACTCCAACCCTCCATCTCTCCTCCCCATATGAAACAATTTTCGGAACAGCTCCTAATTACTCCAAATTACATATCTTTGGCTGTCTTTGTTACACCTGGCTTCCTCCTTGTACCACTCATAAACTAGATTCATGTTCCAAACCATGTGTGTTCATTGGCTATTCCTTAACTCAAAGTGCATATTACTGTCTTGATCCCTCCACTTCTAAAATCTATGTCTCTAGGCATGTTAAGTTTGTTGAGTCCTCGTTTCCATTCGTCCTCAACCTAACTATGTTGCCACTTGGTTCCCAAAAAACCCCTTACAGTATCCTCCACAACTCTGTTCTCGCCACTCCATCATGCTCCTCAACAACTCTCTTGTGAAGCTCCAGTGATATCCCTCATGCCTATCACCTCCGGCA